CTGCTCTTGCTGTTATCTTCTTTGCCTGCATTGCTGGCTCCATGGCTACCAATCCTGCTCAAGTTTTGGGCGAAATGGTTGCACAAGGTCAAAGCCTTATTAACACAATCGTCAATCAAGTTAAACAACAAGCTCTTGGTCTTGCACAACAAGTTCTTGGTCAACTCTCATCAGTTGTTAGTTCACTTGCTGGCCGATCTGGCCTTAATTTAGACATTAATTCACTCATTAATTCAGCCCTCGGCTCATTAACAGGTGTTTTGAACGCTGCCGCTGGACAACTTCTTGGTCAACTTAACGGTCTTCTCAGCAATGTCTCTGGTCTCTTCGGTGGTATGTATACCCTCTTTTTTTTAAATTTCATTTCGAAAATATAAACTATGATGTTTCATTAAAAGGTCGTGTTGAACTTAACCTTGGCAACATATTTGCCGACTTCCTCCAGAGTATTCAAGGAGCAGCTACTGGACTTGGTCAACATTTACTTAACCAAGGTTTATCTGCTGTTCTTGGTGGCCTCGGTGGAGCACGTGGCTTTGGTGACATCTTCAACAGTAAGTAGACATATAGATATCAGCAGTAAAAGAAACATTTTTGTTTTAAATTGTAGGTATCTCAGAACAATTCGCTAACATCGTTGGAACAGCTCAAGCTGCTATCTCAGGTGTTGTAGGCAATATTGTTCAAGTTGGTTCAGGCCTTCTTGATGCCTCAAAACCACACTGGGAACAACTTCAAGAACAACTTGTTGGTCATGGTCTCAATGTTCTTGGTTCACTCTCGGAAACCATCAACAACCTTCATGGTACAATCACCGGTGGTCGTTAAACACTGATGAGATTGATGGTGTAAGATTTCTGGTTGAAATAAAATGTCATGTTTGAAAGAACATGAAAAAAAAAGTTCGCTTTCTAAATGAAAATGAATGAAGAAGAAAGACATCTATACATGTATGCAGTAATCATTGCTAAGCAAAGACACGCTAACGATGATGCAAATACGAATGATAAAGAAATGAATGATAAGATTTAAAAGCATGCATTATATAACATTACTATTGTATTACAGAAAAGAATTTATGTAGAATTGACATGCGTATAATCACATGTTTACAAAGAGTTAAATCTTATGAGTATGGCAACTATGAATATGTCATAAGTCCTTTGCATATATGAGATATATTATGTTTGTAAGAAATAGCTTGATGATTTGATTGAAGTGAATGTGAAGACTTCAAGAGTCTAGAACTAATCAAAAACACTATTTAATCAAACCAAAACCAACGATCATTGAGTTTTGTTCTGTAAGAATCGAAGTAAATGTATATTAAAATTGCTATTGGAATTAGCATTACAAACACTCATGATAACTTAAAATGTGTGATACTTATTTAATTTATTTTTTCGTAACATTAAGCATGTGAATATGACTTATTTTCTGTCAAAAAATAAAATTTTTTGCATAGAAAAATTAACTTTTCGTACTCTTACCTTAAACTCCTGTGAGATAAACTTTTGATTTTAGAAATTCAAAAATTTTACATCATTCGATGCTATTTTTTAATGCTGATTTCAAATATGTTTTTATTTTTCTTCAAAAGTGTTTCTGTGACAGAGAAATCTTGAAAAATCTTTAAAAACCAAGATTTTTTTAGAAAACCTCTATCTCAGTTCAAAAGCATTGGCGCTAATTGTGTATATATCCTAGATATGTAAAAGCATTCTCTGGAAGTTTCATTAATATCGGATTAGTGAAAAATAGTGACGGCCAACTTTACTGAAAACACTTAGCATAAAAAGAATAATTATCTTTTCAGAATGAAATATTTTCTTATAAATCAATAGAGTAGAAGTTCTAGTTTCAGACTATATATAATTTACTGTTCAGTTCTTCTTATTTGTCATCAAAAAAATGATATTTTTCTCTAAAGGTGTTGAAATTTGATCTTTGTTGCTACTATTTTATTTCAATGAATTAATTAGCTGAGACAAAATTTTCTTTACCAAAAAACTGGCCATTAATCAAAGTGTATAAACTACTATTCAAATCTCGAAAACGTGCACTTTCATTTTTTTTCATGTCATGTCCCCATTGTAAGATTTTGAAAGATCTTTAAACAACATACTGCTCGATTCATTATATGACTTGAGAAATTCTATGTTGAAATTGCAAAAAACCAAATCGCTAAAAGAAAAACATTGTATATTTGCAACAATTCATTGAATCCAAGCAAATTATCATCATAGAATACGATACTAATCAGAAAAACAAGATACTAACTTAAACGATATGTGTGAGAGTTACTTTAAAATTTTAAACAATTGTAATTGTTTTTAAATAAATTAGCCTATTTAAGATATACAAGCTAGCTGCTGGTCTAGCTTTTACGTTTTGGAAATGAATAGTTTATATATAGTCTTATTTATTCAATTCTAACAATAAATGTTTGAATCGAACATCAATTTAGTGTCGTAGGACTGGTATTGGCTGACAGAAGAACTTGTTTATTATCTTATCATTATGGAAATAAATTAAGTTAATAGTTGAAAACTTAAAAGATAGATTAATATTGAATTATAGAATTAAATGTATTCGAAAAATCAGAGATATCAATCGATCTGGTTTAGTCTGCAGACGTTTCCGAACTAGGTCAGGTCAAAGAAAAGTAATCTGTTGGCAGCTTTGATATAAAAGTATTAATCTTTTTTATTTTCAACAAATCCGAATGAAGATATTTATCTATTACTTTTTTGAGTTTGTTCATCCTTAACATAAATATTGTACTTTTTTATTTTGATAATCATAATTTTGAATAAAATAATGGCGACACTATATATCATTAAAAAAAAATTCTAGTACAATCAATTAGTTATCATTTTGATAAAATGTTGCTTTAAAATATTCTACGTTAACAACAATACCGGTCAAGAAAAAAAAACAATAACAACAACGAAATACATTGCCAGTAAAATAATTTAACATTACTACCATTTAAACATTTCATATTAATCATCCTCATTTGCTAGACAATAATACTAAAGTAATAACAAATTATATAATTGATGAGTATTAAAATTATATGACTTTTTAAATAAAGTAAATTAATTCTTTCTGATTTACATGTAACTCAATTTAATTGCAAAGTTATTCTTTTCTTGTCTAATTAATATTTATTGCAATTTCTTTTTTGTTATTCAAGCAGATAATTATATATTACATGATCGTATGATACTAATTTTGATAAGGATCGATATTCATACGCCGTAACATTATATAGAAATGATTTTATAATCGTTGTAATAGTATATTCATCGAAGATTTAACAGCTCTTCATTATGTATTCGTACTCCTATTACAACTGTCTTCTTATATAGTCATTGAAATGATAATATTAAATAAATTGAAGTCATATTAGAAATGTACAGTAGTCGCCAGCAGTCTTGCTATCAAGTAAAAAGTACATAAACTTCAATCGTTTTGCCTGATGAATGTTTTGACTACAAATAGAGCTGGGTAAACCCTGATCGCAAACAGCAAGTTGAGGTCGATCGATGTTAATGTATAGGATTTACGATGAAAATACAGATTTTTTTCCACATTTACACCCTCCTTTAAAAGAAAATGAGAAATAAATAATGTAGAAAGTTGTTTTTTTTTATTCACTTATTATTATGAATAAGAACTTTGTTTTCTATTTAATTTCTGAAGAGTATCACTAAGATATTGACAAATATATTGACATTTAGATGAGTTATTATTCATTAATGATAAAATTTGATAAAGATGTGTTAAAATTTCAATTAAAAATATTTTTTCATGTGAATAATATTGATGAAGATATTCAAGAATAAATTCTGAACTATGAAGAATGTCAATTAAATATTGATATTGAAGAAAATATGTTGGATTTAATGATTGACATGAATATTTTTTTGTTATTATTGTTCGAATTATATGAAAAATTTCTGATGTATTAGAAAGAAATTTGAGAAGATCAGTTGATGGTTCTAGATTAGGATTTGCATTGGCTACATTTACTTCATGCTGAATTAAATCGGAAAGAATTTCACCAATAGTTGAAGAGTCAATCGATTCGAAATCTAAAACATAAGAATTATGTTTAATAAATAAACTATTTTTTTTTTCAGTCGAGTCTCAAATTTTGTAAACGAACAAATGAAGAAATCAAAACAAATCAAAAATGCTCTTCTAAGAGAATTTATACATGAACTCCAAAGAACTATACGAAAATATGAATGCGAGCAACTATTGAAAGATTTCAATTGCTTTGTTATCAATTCATGGAGCTTGTCTTACTGACTCTATGTGCGCGAAATTCAAACAAAATAATATATTCAATCATCAGACGCCCCTTAAAAAGATTCGGATCCATGACATTAGGAAACTGCAGCTCTAAAATTTTATTTATTGTTAGGACTGAATCCAAAAGTTTAGTTTTTTTTGCGATACCGAGTGCACGTTTTTCTGGACCCGCAACTCTCTACATGATCTACTGACGAAGAGTGTTGATCATTTTAATGAAAGATTTACTGAGAATGATAAATTTTTGAATGATTTAATACAAAGTGTTTCGAGTTGAAATTTTGTTTATAGGCATATTTAATAGTTTTGAAAGTTTTAATGAAAACGAAACTTTTTTTCACAAGATATTCAATCTCTAAACAAGCAGGGGTATACCGTGAGAGGAAACCGTAATCGAGTCTATTTGAAAATTGAATATATTGAGAAAGACATATTCGTTTTCGTTGAAACTTTTAAGACTAAAAAACGTATCTATAGACAAAATTTCATTAAAACTACTAATACTCTTCATCAATAATCTATGGAACTCACATTCTTTTAAGATTTTTATCTAAGTCTCATCGAGATCTATTCGTAATCCTCATATGGATTTAAACATTTTCTAACAGTTGCTTGTAAGATTATCTTACCTGATTGTTGAAGATTTTGAATCAGTATTTGTAGATTTTTATGATTGATCATTTCATGATGATTTCTAATATTATTGAAGGTCATATTGTCAGATACTGTATATATAAATAATTATTAGTTATTAACACTTGTATTCTAGTCTATATTTACTGAATTTCTCAGTTCGAAAACATAAAAGTAAAATAAAATAAAGACTTATTTTCTTACATTTTCTTTCTAGACAATTAACATCATTATCATCATCGAAACATAGTGAATCAACGCTTCTATTTGTTTGTGAAGATCTACAATCTGTTTAAAAATCATCTAATCTTTGTATTTTACATTGATCATTATCATTACCACCGTCTGAATCACAATCATCAGATAATGGTCGAATAGTTGATTTAGCTAAATACAAAAAACAAACAACATCAATCTTATAGATAATAGGATATAATATTTAACCAGTAAAATATATGAAATAATCAGTAAGTTAAAGAACAATAAAATCAATAAATTACTAACAGGATCAGTTAGTAACGAACGAATCAAATTTTTTAATAGACTAAAACGCATCATAGTATGTTTCACTTTTTTTTTCTTCTTGTCCTTGTTTCGTTGTATCATGTAGGTATAGATGCTATGTGCGACATACATTTAGATGCTCTTTGCTTTTATCCTTTCCTTCAATTTCGACTTAGAGTCTACGAATAAAACAGGTGGACGTGTCACAAGTTGCTCAATATGAAAGTGATTTAACAGATGAAGAAATTATAAAACAAATGGAAACGAAAGATTTCACTAAAAAAAGAGATCAAAATATTGAATTAAAGGGTATATTTGGTAATGTTTGATGGAACAGAAGTATCAATTAGAAATAAATGATCAGAACATTATACAAACTACACAGAAAATGAGAAAACAATGTGTTAAAAGTGCAACAAAGTCAAGCACTGTTGATCTTAATATAGAACAAGTATTTATCTGTTGTATTATGTAGACAATAGAAAAAAAAAAGTTCTTGTTTATAATACTGAAGTTGAGTCAGAGTTGCAACCATTCTGACTAGACTTCATTGGTTGGAAAATATTTTATAGATATTCTATTTTTCTCTGATAAAACTTATTGAGAGTAAATTTCCTTGCTCTTATCAAAATAATCAAAGAGTGTTGTCTTAAGAACTATTAGTTTTATTCTTTTTCAATCGAAGTATATTTCATTTTTTAAAAAGCACACTCAAAACTGTGTTACTTGAGTTAAATATTTTTGGTAAAGATCAAATTTAGATTTAAATCGTCCTTCGAAGAGAAACGATATTTCTTTCTGAAGATTTGTAAAAACCTAAGTTCAAAAAGAAAAATGAATGTTTGTTTTTTGAAACCATTCTCATTCACCGATTAATAATGATTCAACAAGTCGGCTAACTTTTTTGCCAGCTTTCATTGATCTACAAGATTTTCTGAACCGGCTGAACTAGACCAATTCAAAAATATTCGACTGATTATAACTCTGAGCTGAGTACGATGATCATAGGGACTTATGAATGTGAATGAAATGAAAACTCGTTCGAACCCACACTCGCACTGTATTTTATACGGATAAAAAAACCTAAATTCGTCATTGACCAAATCCAGATTTTTTTACTGGCTATATCATTTATTTTACTGATCATTTAAATCATGGGCATAGATAAATAATCTATCAAACTTACGTGATTGTGATAGTTTAATGAAAACATACCTAGAAAAAAGAAATGAAGATAGTTATTGAAAACATACGAAATTTACCATAAAATAAAACCAAGAATAATAATACTAATAACAAAAAGAAATACAAAAAATCCATAATGAGAATGTTCTTGTTCGGTAATAACTGGTGGAATTTTATAATAATTATTCTGTTTTTGTGTTGTAACTAAAAGAAAAATTAGAGAAGATTAATTTTATATTTTGTCTGATTGACTTATTCAATATTATAATAAATTATGTAAATGAAGAATACTCCCCTCCTTTACCCGTCATTGGTTGAACATACATGCATGAATAATAAATGTTGATGTTTTATTTTCTTTAATCGATTTTTTATATTTTGTTACTAATTTTCTCATTTTTCTATGTATTGATTTTCGTTTTTTTTCTTTTCTATTTTCATCTAAATAATAATTATCAATTAAATTCGAATGTAAAACCATTTCTGAATCACATCGAGATGATAAATCATATAAATAACATGGATTAATATATGTTGTTGGACGAATATGTAATCGAACAAATGATCTATGAACAATTACTGTAAATTTTCCATGAAGATTTATTTCATAAATTTTATCTAATTGATTTTTATATTCATCTTTTGATTTATAATTTAAAGATTTCTTTTGTTCAAAATTTTTCATATGTCTATTATCATTGTTTGTATTCGTATGAATAAATTTTCTATTATTAAAATTGAATTTTCTCTTCATTTATATGTCTTTCTTTATGGTAACTATGAGAATTTAATTAAAGACATAAAATGTTAATCAAGATTATATTTTATATCAAAGAAATTTCAAAACAAAATAGAGAAAAAAAACAATAAGATATTATTCATTCGGTTGTACACAAGCTGATTCCTGTTCATTAAATGGATCTGTACGATAAGTTAAAGTACATTGTTCATTTCGAAATCGTTTAGCATTTCTAGTTAAATTTTGTGCCCATTCATCACAAGCAGCTCTTTTTACACGATATTCTGTAACTTTTAAATTAGCATAAGCAGATAAATCGTGTGTTAATCTAGCCAAAAGATCTTTTTCATGAGTAAATATACCACCAGTTAATATACAGTCAATGTCTAAAGCCCATTCTTGTAGATGACTCATATCAAAACAAAAAATATAAACAACTGGTGAAATTCCATATTTAATTATATCTGGAACAATAGCTTGTGCATGTTTACCTTGAATAATACAGAAAAGTTTTTTTTTTTGTTGTTTAGTTGGTGATAAAAATCGACGACATTGATCAACATCATTAAAGAAATATATATTAGTTGTATTTGATTCAAATTCTTGTTTAAGTTCAATACAATTTTCAGTTTGACCAATATGTTCATCAAGCCAAAGTAAAATTATATCACTTCGACAATTTTTTCTACAGTGTCCATTAAAATAACATCAAAAGCAAAGTAATCTAGTTATTTGTTTACAAAATAAGACAATATTTATTTTTTTTTTCAAGAATGATTTCATAGAACAGAATGATAACATGAAATTGCCACAGGCAAATATGTAATTTCCTTGTTCTTCTACGACATCTATTGAAATATCTTTTTGACCAATTTGAGATTTATTTTTCTGATGCAAAATGCAATGAAGTTGACTTTAGAAACTCAGTTACTGACAACAAGTATATTTATGTTCATTATCTGAAAAGAATTTCGGTAAATCAAATAATACCAAATCTTTGTAAACGTTTCTGGATATCAATTGATCGTAAAATTTAAAAGTTAACTTCAATTATTGAAGTGTTACTTCAAGTATTTATAAATTAATCTGATTGCGAGTGTAAAGACTTGTATCTTAGTCAGAGCCTGTGCGGTTGGTCCCAGACTAAAGCCTAGTCGAGTCTGGGTCCGAAAGTTCTCAATCCAACGGGGCTCTGATCTTAGGAAATAAGTCTATAGAATATTGCGATTTGTTCGATTGCGATCGAATTGGACTTAAAAGCAATTTAAAAACAGATCTGAACAATATTGGTTATATTTGTATATAGAGTTTTTTTTAGTGATTCATGTTTTACCTATTTTAAAATATTAGAATAAAATTACGCAGTACTATGATATTTCGATTATTTAGAGAAATTTTCCTGAAAAAAACCGTTCTATTTCAGCTATTTGACTTGATTATAAACGACTATCGAGTGTTAATCATTTTCAATATATGTTGTAAGGAAATTTAGATAACACTTCCTGTCTGTTTAATCACGTATATTTTATTTAAACATGAAATACTTATATCAAGTTATTTTCAGTTCATTCTTACACATCCATCACTATTTTTATCAACATATACTTCGTTCTACTGTTCCAGTTTTTCCCATTTTTATATCGACGAATGAGAGAAGATGTAACTATTGTGTCCTTATAAGTTAAAGTTAAAGGGAAATATTTCCTACATTATTTAGAAGCGACAAGTAGACGAGAGCTCGTTGATGTCTGCTGTGAGCGCACCTTGTTTATGGGTGTGGGTATGGCTAATAATTTTAATTAGTCTCAACTCATGTAAAAAAAATCAGGACAATAATCAAATTAAAAAGCGATTAAAATCAAAAGCAACCAAAAAAATCTAAATTTCATTGATTTTTCAGAATAATTTCGATTATAATTGATTAAAAACTGTGCAAAAAAAATCGACTTTTTATCTTCAAGTTTTAATCTAATTTTTATCCTAATTTTTTTTTCTACATGGGAAGTCTGGAGTACTGTTTATCATTTCAAAATTTGATCGATTTACTTTATTATGAAACTTTCCAAAAACATACTTTTAATTCAAAACCTTCTATACTTGGTAGATATATGTTCAATAAAAATGATTATAATTTCCGCGTTTCGTTCATAACTGTTAACATACAAAAAACACTTAATGTTGCATAGTAAAGAATGCATCGTTTCATTCAGAGTTGACCAGTAAATACGAGAAAAACGTAACTTACAAATGAATATATGAGAAAACACGTAGTAAAATAATCTATAAATACTAAATTTTTAAAGTAAAGGACAATGAAATACATATATATTAATTTATTCTATCAAATATGTCAATTAAATCAAAAATAAAACGCAGGTTTAACTCCTACACTACTAGTAGAGCTCTATGAGTTGTATTTGCAGTATAAATAAATAATGATTCTTCATTGTATTCTTGCAATAATATGAATTGCACAAATTTGCCTGCGATTCAACCTAATTCATATATCATAAATTCATGCAACCCGTATCTTTACAAAGATACAATAAGGACCCATTATTTTATCATCTTTGGAGCGGTGTTAATAGATACGATTCATCAATATCTATTTCTATTTCAAGGTGTTCGCATACTTTACCAATAATCGTCTGAACTAAAAGTTTATTCTTTTATCAATGTAAACAGTTCTATAAATTTCTTACTGCATGTCTGCTCGAATCCGAACAGAAGTTTTTCGAAATTAATACATATACATAACATAAAATAGGAAGTTTTTTCGAAATTAATATGATATCTAGGTTAATGATGTCAGCACCCGAATCCACTGATGTCCGACGAGAACTCGCAGGAAAGACGCCGTTTTCCATCGGAAAATGATAGGAACTTGGAAGCAGGAATCTGGTGATCATATCCGATTGTCAACTCTGTTCGATGACTGTCGATTCCGACAAGAATTAGATAAATCCGGTCACCGGATTCCTGCTTCCAAGTTGCTACAACTCTCCAGTCGTACTCCATTCACCTCGATATCCAACTCGTTCCAACTCTAGAGCATACATATATAGCAATGATTCTAATGTATTTAATATTATCTGTAAGTCATAGAGTGTGAAATCTAAATTATTTAAAGACATTTATTGGCGAAACAGCAAATTACAAATGAATAGTAAGAAGTAGCAATAGATGGTGCTCATTACCGACAGGGATATGTAAGTGTATTCATTGAATTTTCGCTCCAATAGTAATCAAGAGAAATTGTTATTATACAAAAGCTCAGATCAGACAATTTTCTATTCGACAAACAATTATTAAACCTTCGCATGTTAATATTTTTTATTTCATTTAACTTTTCAGATGACAAGTGCAACAATGGATGCTAAATTAAAAGAAGCTATACCATTATATGAAAAACTCAAAACTGAATGGGGCCGTAAACCACCAAATGTTGGCAAAACTGATGAATTGCTTAATTTATTAAAAGTATTATTTTTTTTTCTGATTGTTTATTTCAATCAAAATAAATTTTATTTATTTTCTTATTTAAGAATTTATTTGCTGAAGGTGGATTCTATCCATCAGATTCAAATGAAGATACACGTGGTTTACATATAGCACGTACGTCTTATTTCTTATATTAATTATTAATCTTAAAAAACAAATCTTTTTATAAATAGGTGATACACTTGAAATAGCTGCACAATGTGCAATTCATAAAGGTGATATACCAGCATTTGAACGGGCTCTTGCTCAACTTAAGCCATTTTATTTTGATCTTGAGTATGTGTATTTTTTATTTTTGAAATTTTATTTTTTTTGTTTTTTGATGTAATTAAGAAATCGAATACCTGAATCACCGTATCGTTATTTATTACTTGGCTTAAATTTACTTTGTTTATTATCACAAAATCGTCTTGCTGAATTTCATACGGTAGAAAATTCTATTTTTAGACAAAATATGAATGTTTATTTGTTTTTTTTTTCTCCCAAGGAATTGGAATTACTTTCACCAAAAGTTATTCAAACGAATCCATATATAAAACATCCTGTTTCACTTGAACAGTATTTAATGGAAGGAAGTTATAACAAGGTAAAAAATTCTTTGACTTAAATAAATATATGAATAATTATTTTTGAATTCTATTAGGTTTTTCTTGCTAAAGGCAATGTTCCATCACCTTTGTTTACTTTCTTTATGGATATTCTTCTTAATACAATTCGGTATGATTTTTATTTATTTTTGTACTCAACATCATAGCGATTTTTTTTTAGTGATGAAATTGCTTTTTGTATGGAAAAATCCTATAGACAAGTATCATTAAATGAAGCTGCACGTATTCTTTATTTAAATAATCCAGATGAATTAGCTGAAATAGCAAAAAATGTAATAAAAGAAAAACTTTTTTTTTTTAATTAATTGAATTTCATTTTTTTTGTTTTTAGCATGGTTGGAAATTACAATCTGATAAATCATTTCATTTTGCTGATAATCAAATAAAACATGAAAATGAACATGTACCTGCTGATGAAATTGCAACACAAATGATTCAATATGCACGTGAAATGGAAATTATCATTTAAAAGTTGTTCAACCTTTTCTTTTATGATATAATAAACTCGAGAGAAAAATATAGGATGATGCTTGTTTGTTTTTTTTCGTCTATTATTAAAAAAATTCTTTTTTTTTCGTGTTGATTATTCTATCTTTTAGATAAAATGTTTAATTTAAATTTTTCAGCTAAAATTAAAGAAGCTGAAGAACATATTAAACAAGGAGAAAAATATTTAAAAACATCATTCACAAAATGGAAGCCAGATCTTGATTCAGCTATTGATGAATTTGATAAAGCATGTACATGTTATCGTGTAGCAGAAAAATATGAACAATGTCGAGATTTATCAATAAGATTAGCTGAATTACAAATACAAAAGGGTAGTACATTTTTTGCTGCTAAATCCTATGAACAAGCAGCACAAATGGCACAACAATCACAAGATTTAACAACAGCTGCTAAATATTATGATAAAGCAGGAGAATTATATACTGAAGGAGGTAGAATTCAATATTAATTTAAATAAATACTATCTATTATTTACTTTATAGGTTATCGTGATTCTGGTGCAATACTTTATGAACGTTGTGCACCACAATTTCAACAACTCGATCGCACAATATCTATTGATTTTTATCTTAAAGCAGCACGTCTAGCTGAACAAGAAGATAAAACTTATCAAGCAGCTGATTTATATGAAAAAGCAGCTATGCAAATATTTCGTACAGGAAATTTTCCAAAAACAACTGAATTACTTGAAATAGTTACAAAAAATTTAACAACATTAGAACGTTTTGATCGTATTAATCGTATAATACTTTATCGAATATTACTTAAATTATTCAATGATGATAGTGTAGCTGGTAGAAATATATTTGATCAAGCTTGTCAAGATTATCCAACATTTGAACAATGGGAAGAACGAAATCATATTGAATTATTACTTGATGCATTTGATCAAGATGATAAAGATTTAATTAGTCGACGTTGTCAAGTAAATAACAAAAATTCTCGTTTTTTTTTTCTCCTTTAAAACTTGATAATTGATTTCATTGTAGAAACCATATTTTATGGCAATTGAACCTGAATTTGTTCGTTTAATTAAACGTTGGATTCGTCCAATAACAAATACGGATGATGAACAACACAAAACAATAAATTCTGTTTCTTCATCAACATCTGAAGTCAAACCAATACAATTAGATGATGATGAAGATGATTTACGTTAATTATTTAAATTCCATATTGTTGTTGTCTGTATTTGTCGTACAGTATTCTGTTTTTTTGAATATTTTATTTTTTTATGTTGTATTTGTGCAATAATTTTATTGAACACATATAAATAAAGTTTAGACATGCAATCATCAAAATTTTACCGCCTTTTCTAATATTCTATTCAACCTGGATTTCATGACTATTGTATTAATAATTATTAGTATTGTTCTATTAATTAGTGGATTATTAATTGCTATTTGTCTTGTTCGATATTCAAGTATATTCAGAAAATCTTCATCAAACTTAATAGATAATAATCTTGTTAAATCTCAAATAAATCCATTATCACAAATATCAATGATATCTCATTCAAATCCTATAACAAATAATTTTCAATCTGGAAATCAAATTACTCTTGAAGAGAAAGAATCATCAATTTCTATCTCTCAAACATCATCATTATTTATGCCATCAAAAATTTCATGGAAAAATGAGAATTTTATTTCTGATGAATCTTTTCAAGATACTAAACATCATCATGATTATTCTGAATGTTTAAGACTTGGTTCGCTACTTATTGATAGACCACTAGGTATTGCTATGCAGCCATTAGATGCTATGGGTCCAGTACTCATGAAATTCAATATGTGTGAACAACATTGGATCAGACCTGATGATCAATGATGTGAACTTTTTTTCTTTCTTTTGATCTGTTGGAAAATAAATTTCATCACATGATTGATTATAGAATCAGAGGAAATATTTGGCAGTCATTTTCCGATGATGCACAGTGAGCATTTTTCCATAGACTCGGTGGGCATATGATTTCTTTAACAGAGAAAGATCTTATTTTCTGCTTAATATTACTTTATCATCTCTCCAATATCAAAACAATATGAAAAACTCAAATCCGATAAAGAGTTTGTTTTTTACTGAAAAATCACTGTGAGAGATCTTTACTCTATATATTATACGATGTGGGTGTGGGTTTCCATCTTCTTTTCATCCATATCTGCATCCAGACACATCCTCTCGTACTTTCAGAGCGACCATCCGATTTTGGTTAAAGTTTTATTGAGAGTATCAAAATACGGTTTGCTTGGATTCGATCTTAGTTCAAATCTGAAAAATTTTTGTCAACCGAATCGGGGCTCGAAAATTTTCAAACCCGATGGGCTCTATTCTGATGCATCAGAAAACATACAATTGCTTCAAAAAAGTTTAATAAAACTTTTTGAAAATTGCACTAAGCTTATTGTTCAACGAAACGATATGTTATACAGCACATTTTTGAAATGAATGTAAGAAAACGTTTATGAGCAGACGAAAAGAAAAGTTGTTCAATATTCGATTTGATTCTTATGTTCACATTGATTTTTTTTCAATGTCTTACGTCGATCAAAACGGAATAGAAATGTGTTGATAAATTAAGTTAAATCTCGTACTAGAATTGCTCAACTCTCATTTTCATAAAAAAAAAATAAAAAAAAAATAAAAAAAAAATTGAATATCGTTTTTTGAAAATCTAAGTAGAGAACACTTCAATAAGCAACTTTTATGAGTAAGAGATATATATTAGAAAAAAAAACATTAAAGCTCAAGAGTTTGTATTGATATGAAAGGAAGATAACTGTCTTTTTGAATTGTTCCGAAGAAAGTAAATGAGGTTTTCTATGTCAACATTCATAATTAAGTGCAACAGCAAACTTTAGAACCAGTCCAACAACCAGGACTATAACCGGAACATTGAGTTGCTGCTGAACGATAGTAGCCACTAGGACATGTTCCTTCACAGTATGGTGTTGTACCGTACCATTCACAAGTACCTTCACATAATGATACCATTACCATAATTACCATTAAGACTATAACAAATGTTGCTTTTGATTTCATTTCTGTTATCCGAGTTACACTGGAAGTTTGGAAAAATTTAGACATTACAATCATTCAATGAATTTATGAAGATGGTAGACTCAAGTATTCAGAAAAAAAAGAGAATTAATATTATTTGTAAAATGATCAAAGTATGAAGTTTCAAACGTGAATGCTATGATTTCGACATGACGTTACATATCTTTACAATACAAGTAAAAAGCAATGTATAATGGTACTTCACTGCAATTGCCAAAGTATTTATATATGCTTTCATTTTCTCCTGCATTTTCTATAAAACAACAAAAGATTCAGCAATTTTTTATGCTCGATTATCCAGCTTCTACTTTTCGAACTTTACACTTCATTAGTAGTCATTCGTTTTTTTTTCGTCAAGGTTAACTGGACAAAAGTTTGACTTATTTGTGCTTTATTATATTAACTTCTATCAATGTTACTTGATTATGCCTTCTTCTAGTTTCTCTGCCGCTTTTTAAGGTATACAGCTCGAAAATTCACTTTTTTTTCTTTTGAACATAATACCCATTTCTAGGCTTCGTTAAGCTTTCTGCTTGACAAAAAATGATCAATAGATTAATTATGCATATTAGTTACACATGCAAGAATAAACATTCTACAATCCGTTTTTATTCAAAAATATAAAGTAAAGCATATATTCACTTTCAATCGAAAGGGGCGATTATAAAATGACATCAAAACTCGCTCTTTCATGATTAATAATCCAAGTTACTGCATGAATCCAGTATGAGAATGCGAGTGCCTATACTTGTATTTATCAAACCAAATATCTTTTAACGAGAAGAAAGCGTCCATTGAATAGTGAGAAAATCAATGCTAGACTTTCTTTTTTGTCGCCATTCTCGTTTTTTATAGTAAGAACAGTCAAATGGAACGATTTTCATAATCCATATTTCAAAGTCTTAATCAAGAACATCGAAAAGATTCCATCAGTAAGCTTGTTCTTGATTGTTTGTCATCGCCACATACAACAACAAATACAAAGTATCGTTAAGTTTGATGATTTGAAAGAGCCAATGAAAGATGAGAATGATAAATACATTGCAGTAGAAATTAGAATTCTACTAGTAGAAATTGAAATTTCGTTTTCTTCTTGAAGAAATTGAAATAACACATGATTTCAAATTGCACTAGCAGAAATAAAAATACTCGTTTGTATTCATGATGATATTTCAAAAGAGAAAAAACATAAAGAGTTTGTATATTTAACCTATACTTCTTGTGATACTATCAAAGAAAAAAGATATAATATAATATAAAACGGAGCTATTTTATTTCAAACTTGATAAGCATATTGAATCTTTAAACAAGAAATTTCGTTTAAAATTTATTATCAATGATAGTTCGATACCAGATAGATATCAACAAATCCGAAATGAAGATGAAGAAACGTATATGAACACAATTGCTAAAAGACAGAAATTATATGATGATGCTCCAAAATTACACCAATGCCAAATTGGAGATTTGGCTGGCTTAAAAATTGATAAAATCGATAGACCTAACACAACATCAAAAATTTTACCATGTAAAGTTATTTCAATACAATCATCATCTAATAATATGAATACCTATCGTCTTCGTCACTAAATCAATATTGAATACAAAAGACTTTTAGATTAATTGTTGTGTAAAAAATCATAAAAACCTATCTTCAAATTTATTTCTATCAATAATAAACTTTGAACTTTATACATTTTTCTTTTATAAACTATCTTTCTTTTCTAAAGTACAGCAATTGATAACCATCCAGCTATAAGAAAAATTCCACCATATGGTGTTACACGACGAAATTGAGTATCATTTCGTATTGCATGATAATAAATAGGACCACAAAAAAGTGTAAGTCCACTAATAAATAAACATCCTGTAATCATTGGTCGTGAGACAAATGGTAGAGCAAGTAAAGCCACTGTATGTAGTAAATGATATGTTTGAGCCAATTGAAATAACTACAAATGATTAGATTAAATACAAAAAACAGAATATTAATTTTTTTTCACTAAACATACTCGTCGAAGTTCATCTGGAGTATTTTCTTTCATTATATGAGCTCCATAAACACCTAAACATATAGCCAGTATACCTGATAAACCAGCACAACGAATGAAATTTTTCATTGTTGGTGAAAGAGCTAAACCACGAATCATTGATTGATTTGATGTTGACGATGAATAGCGTGATATAATTCTAGAATTTTGTTTGATTTAAATCATATTATTAAATTTACAAAAGAAATCTTTTCGATTTCTTAGATTTTATTTTTTTAATAAAATTTTTAATACACACCCAAGTATTTTAAAAAAACTCTTAATCCATCGAGTAAGATCTCGAATAAATAATAAATACATAAATTCAAATTAAAAAGAAAAACAAAAAAATATCTGCAAAAATAATTTAAAACAAAATATGTTTCTTTAATCAATAAAATTTAAAAAAAAAATCTTTTTTGCTTATTATAAAAAAATAAATATAGAAAATGAAAGAAATCTGATTATTCACGTCGGGAAGCTTTCCATTGTTCAATTGTTTCTTTTAATTCATTTTGTGGTATGACATCTTGCATACGTAATGGATTTCGATTAAATGGATCAGTTTGATCACTATATTAAATAATATAAAAATATAACTGATGGCTTATAAAAAACGAGACACTTTTCTTAAGTAATGCAAACATAGTTTAGGGACTTCATTCTTAGTTCATTCGATAGAGAAATTTCCCCTCTACGAAACGATGTAAGTTGTGAAATTAATATAGTTTCTTCTTTTACAAAAAAAGAAAACATGAAAAGTGAAGATATGCAAAATATTGTACTTCGATTACGTGAACAAGAACTAAATGACCGACGGATTTCGAAACAACTTGCAGATAAAATTGGGAAAACAACAGTCTACAGATGAATCAAAATGTTTAAAGAATCAGGTGCAATACATTTAGAAACAAGTATAGATCGAAACTGAACAAAAAGATTGATTCATCGGGTGAATCACCATCTTCTTCACACGAAAAAGGAAAAAAATCGACTAGACAACCATCCCTATCACACGTTTGTTTGTACTCTGACCAGTATACCGCAGTATTCTGAAGAATCAGCAGCAGCGCTTACAACTTTCGGTTTCAACTGTAAATGATTGCAGAGAGTGTTTTCTACCTACATTCGAATTCTTTCTAAAAAAGAATTCAAATTAATCGAGAACAAAACAGTTTCAGAATATATTTTACTAATAAAAATGTTGTCCAGCGTCATCTATAATAAAAATTTATCTCATAACTGGGGCTGATTTAGGCTCGGTAGCTAGTACACATGGCTCAGACACATCAACACTATCAATATGAATCGTCAACGGCTCAATTCTGTCAGTTTTAATAGACTTCAAAAGTATTCACTCATTTCAATGCAAGGCTTTCAAGAAAAAAAACCATCAGTATACCTATGGTAGTTATCACATCGAGTGAGGCACAATTAATCATCAACGTTATATTGATGAAATATTGCCAATTGTATGGCAAGATGTAGCACGGCCACACACTGATCATCACACTCAAACATGATGTGAACATCATTTTTGGTCGACATCATGATAGTCCGCCTAACATCCTCAATCTTAATTCCCTCGACTGCTCAATCTAGACAAAGTAACTAATAAAAAATTTTAATGGATCAATTTCATGCTGATGAAAAAGAAATTCGACTTGATATTATTTGTTGCAGTATTGTTTGTTCGACTAAAATAGTTTTAAGAACGTAATCGCTGAAGTATGTCTGCGTTAGTCAAAACAAAGAAATAAAAGTGTCGCAATCTTTATGAGTCACTCGTTAATTTGCAGTGAAAATTAAATCTTCATTTCTAACCTAAGAAGATGTCGTGCAATAGTTGTACGATCAAGTATTTTTCGAGAACTTGGCAACATAACAGGATCGCTCATTAATATACTTGTAATCGGATCGAGATATTCATCAGGTGCATCATCATATGTAGCATCTTCTTGTTTTTGTTCAACAGCAATTTTCTAGAAAGAAAAACAAACAAAATCAGTGATAGAATAAAATAAAGGAAAAGAATGTTACTTTAATACGTTCACCAAGTTCTAAAAATTCATCAATTCTTTCAGATGGATATTTAATCCGTTGAAGTACTTCGACAGCTTGTGGAAAAAGTTGTTCATTATATGACCTTTAAGATAAAACAATATCTATTTTTGTTTTTTAGAAATATGCTTTTGTTTATTCTTACATTCCATCATTTGAAACGGCAGCACAAAACTGATTATATTGAGAAAAATTTAAATAAAGATCTGTCACTTTAGCCACAAGTTTTGGAGGATCAAATAGATATTCATTTAAATCACGTACTTTTAAATTCCGTCGTTTAGGTCCAACCTGTATATTAGTAAAATTATTATAAGAAAAAACAAAAAAGAATAAATAATTATGACGAACTAGATGTTGTAAGAAATAATTAAGCATTGAAGCAAGTCGTTCACAAATAGCTGGATGACAAAATATAGATTTAATTTCTTGTGTTATCATATCAAGAATGATAAGCTAGAAAATAAAAATTTATTCAATTTTGATTCATAAAAATGAATTCTTCAACAGTCATTCTTTCTGTTTGTTTTTCTTTTAGCAAAAATAAATACAATAATAACTAAAAAAGAAACAATCGATTTCATTGACCTCAAAGCATATGGACTTCTTGAGTTTTACATAAAAAAGATTTTCCATTAAAAGAAAATATCATAGTTATAAAAAATTTATTTTCAATCACGACAATAGTTTTTCGATGGATAAAAATATTATTTATGAAAAGTTTTTCATACATAGAAAATCTATTAATTTCAATGATTCTGAGAAACAAAATCTAAAATCCTAGAGCAGTGAAGGAAGAACTCGACAGTAAAATTTTTCTTTCTAGATATTAACCGTTTTAAGACCCATGATATTCATATAACGTGCTATTCGACCAGTACGTTGAAATGTACTTTCAAGTTCTTGTCGTTGTGTTTCAGGCATTTCATTCCATTCACCACGTTCTTTTGCTTCTTGATCTGCTCGTAACCTTGCCATATGCTAAATAAATAAACAAAAGAAAAAATTCTTCTTTTTTTAATTTTGTTTTAATATGTACTGTCAATGCTTCATCCAATAAAAAATTTGCATCATTCATAAGTAAATTAATAAAACGTAAGAAAAGTGGAGCTTCAGCATCATCTATATGTCGTTTAGCATATGAAGCAAGTTTCTACAAAAGAAAAAAAAATTATTTAACTTTAAAAAAATTAATTAATACAACTTTAATTTGTGTTCGATGTTTATCAAATTTCCAAAGATATTCAAGTATATCATACATTGGACGACGATAACTAAATTTTTGTTCAAATGCAACTGCTTGTCCAGTTAATTCAATTGATACAAATACATCAAGAAGTACACGTGGTAAATGTTCAATTAATGGATATTCTTGAAAAATTCTTTCAGTATATGAACTAATAACAAAATACAAATAAATTTATTAATAATCAAAAAAAAACAAACATATGAATTAACTTATTTAGTGTTCGACTACTATTTTCTTGTTCATTGGGTAAAATAGTTTCGAGTACTTCAGCTAATGTTGCACGTAAATGAGGATTACGTAAACGATTCATATCACCCATAAATACAAGTATAAGATTAATATATTCATTTATTGATGATTCTATTGACTTAAGAAACCAAAAAAAAAAAAGAATTAAAAAGTTTGTAGTTTTTATTTTTGTATTCTTAGAAATCTTACTTGAAATAATTGTGTATTATATCGACCAAGAAACTTTAGATAATCAATTATATTTTCCATAATAAATTCTGGAATATAACTTAATTGTCGATTAGGTTCAGATATTAATGGTAATTTCTTAAGAATATTCATTTGTTCTTCTCCATCTAATTTCTGATTATGATTAGAAGAAGATGATGCAAGATGTACAAGCCATGAACATGTAGCTGTAAATAAGGCATTTGATAATTCTAATAAATAAGGTTCATTGAGCACAGCTTTTATATTTAAAAATGCAGTAAGACCTATAGATGAAAATAACACAACCATAAGAATACAAAGTTATGAATCAAATGCAAGACATTCGTTAACTTAAATATTGATTCTTAGAAGCAGTATTTTTAGAATTCGATATTTTGACATATATTTCCATTCAAAAATTTAATACTACAGTTCTTTTTGATTTAGTAGGATACTTTCGTCGATCGATTTCTTTGTCTTTTTTATTTAACATCAATTCAAACTTCATACATCTTTACTACAAATCGGTATGCTCAATCATTTTCGGTCATAGTCACAAAAATTCTATTGATTGTATTAGTGTAATCTGTTACAAAGCAACTAACCACACTGATGATATGCATGAAATCCTAAATTTATTATTCTTGATGGTAGATCATTCGAGAGTAGGGATGCAACAGTGATGGTGCACCATCCAGCAGGCTTACATACAACTTAGCATTGGTCTAAATATGTATGTATAAACTAAAACGGTGAACGCATAATAAAACTATGTTGGATTTGGATTGATTTCAGTTTTTTCCGGTTGGTGGAGACCATTTCTAGAAACTAGATGAATTTTATAAAAATAGACTCAAGGTTTTCGGGATCCAGGAATTCGAATCTATATGAGGTTTATTGAAATTCTCGAGTTCAATTTTCTCGTTCGAGAAAAGCTTAGCTCTCACGGATTAGTCATGTTTTATAACATTCAGCTATTTTCTTGAGAAAAATCTCTTCCGATTGAAAAAGTCGAAATGAATCTAAGATCACCCATCGTAGTTTTAACCATCGTCACCGTTATTGTATGCATGCTCTATCTAAAACAAGCGTACCGATGATTATCCTCATCGTTTCATCCCTATTTGAGCATAACCATGAGCGGAACCAAGAACATTTTTCTCACATATATTTGAGAGTATCAACAGACCAGCCTCTATGAATTTCTTGCAAAGCGTTTCTGCTATTGATCGCACTCTATTCGAATTATGTGAAACAACAAAAGATCTACTATTCAGAGCGAATATATATCAGATGGGATGATTAGACAAGTAGGAAAAAATTCGAATCTAAAGTTAAACATTCATACAAAGTTATATGAGTTCTAGAAAATCAGAAAGAAAAATAGTCATCATATAACTACATGATTGTGACTAGACTTTGATCACGCTGATTTTTAAATCTTACACATAACATATTGAATTACTTTTCTTATGTAATCGATATTTCCTAGAATTAAATGAATATCTTTATGTTTTACCGTTTTCCATTGTTTCTCCTAATTGTATAGAATTTTCATGATTCAGTCCATCTA